GAGGAGTTCGTTGTTGGGATGTGGTTGATTGATCAGCAACTGAAGGGACACAAACTGCCTGTGAAAGTGCCGGACAGTGTCTGGGGCAGCGTGAAGCGTGTGCCTGGGATTAGTTTACGCGACATTGACTTCCATTCCTGACGTGGCAGTGGGCTCCATTCCATATCATTCGTAAGGATGATCCAGATATGGAGGACAGTAATTCTATTTCGAGAACAGAACTACCTAGTTAGAGTAAGAACCTAAATCGCACTAGTCGGATCGGACATTACTAGTTGCCTGTAGGGTAGCATTAACGTGACCCGCCTTGGATGGATTTGATAGGTATCTTCAGCTGACCAGAATGTGCGTATGACGGTGAATACTCGGGGATAGTCGGGCTCCAGCGGAAGGGCTCCAGCGCAACCTTGCGTACGGGACCTTCCCGCCCGGATATCTTCATTCTGGACCGGAATGCATCCGAGAATGGCGTGTTGTGTTCGGAGTAGCACTCACTACCTACCTTCAGGTGGCTCAGCCCTTCATTCAATTAGAGTTCACCTAAGGTGTGTCGATCGATTAGCCCTCCTTTGCCCCGAGATCTCCAAGCTAACCATTCTGGCGCCTTGTTATCAAATCGATCTATCGATCTCCCTGGGTCGCTTTGGCTTTGCGTCCGCTCACCCCTGTTATCGAACCAATTCGATCTTGTTCTGGGAGATGTTCGATTGATCATTCGCGGAGATGATGAATGAGGGAATAATCGGGATCGACTTCCTGTGTAAAACGTGGCAAGCCACCGGTATGTAGACAAATGGGTTCCTGGTGTCAGTCAGTAATGTAACCGCAGTACTCCGTATCGATATGACAACGGAAAGTATCACGTGACGTATAGAATCAGACCACGGCGTGGTCAACGTCGTCCGAAAGCGGTTTAACGCAGACAAAGAAAGCAAAATGAGTGGAAGCTAACCCGATCGAGAGAATTAAGCAGAGAACCGTGAAGTAGCACAAGCAAACGAGAGCAGATACAAGTGCTTCTTTTTCTTTTTCTTTTTCTTTTTTTATTCTAGTTGTCATATCTTAACTTTATAGATTTGGGATCCATGCGTCGCATTTTTTGATCAACCTCATTCGAGGAAGCTCCATTCAGGGGAACCCAGAGGAACATGCTTTTTGACTAATCGCGAATCGTCCGCCACATTTACGCTTTCTTGGGGGCAAAGCAAATCCCGAAGCGTGAGCGACCGGGATTTGAATCGTTGGCTATGGATGATTAAGCCCCAGTACTACACCCCAGTTCTCGACGCTGTACGGCGTATATCAGACCACCTCTTCGGGTATCGAAATACACACTTTCCTTAGGGATCCCCCCGTGGCCCGTATGCTTCCCCTGGTAACGATGCGCAGTCCGAGTATCTACTAGTCGTCAATGTCGGGAACACTCGCGGTGAAAGTCTTGAAGTCCCTTTGTGTATCGATCGTTGCGGCTGCATAACACAACTGAACATTGGCAAAGCCGGTTCGTTTCTAGACTACTACTACTAGGATATTATACTCCTCCCCCATTGCTCAAGCAATCGCCATGGTTCTGGAGAACTTCCAGAAATTTCATGACAACGGAACCACCACAGTTACACAGTCCAAGGTCGCAAGGCCCACTGTGGTGCGAAAGAAATTTGCGAAACCACCAGTCAAAGTAGCATGTCTAGCCTGGTACGTTATTCCTTTGCTTTATGATTCTGCCCATTACCCCCGGAGGCCAACGCCCGGTTTTTGGGATCTGGACTACGATCATGCACCGTGTGTGAGACAAAGTCCCTGTCTGACTACAAGGTGCCTGGTCCCCTGTTATGTCGGACCTGGGCTGACGCATACTCTTAAACAGTCGTGCTTCAAGGACACGCTGTGATGGACAAGTTCCTTGTTCCAATGTAGGTCTTCTATGTCTCATTACTTCCAGTTATCTTCGTGTTTCTTCTTATTTTCCCTCTGCTTGACTTTCCTGTCTTTTTGCTCTTCTTTCTTTCTTTTTCCTTCCCCCCTTTTTCTTTTTTCGTTTCTTTTCTGCTTTTTATATCTTTTCTCTCTCTTATTGAATGGTGTCTGTTCCCCGTGTCTCAATATGTTCTCCACTCTACCATACACCATCCCCGCAAAGTACATTATACAGGCGTTTACTGAGACAATTACTTCTATGAAAAGTGTCTTGGCAAAAGAAGGAAATGTTCCTATCTGCCTAGTAAACGAGGCGGTCCAAGGAAGAAGAAAAGGGCATCCATCTCCCCTGAAGGAACTGTTCCGCAGGATGATGCTCACAGCTCAACCATTCACTCGGCGGCACCCGGACTCGATGAATGTACGTGATGATGCGTAAATCCTAAAATTAAGAGCAACCTATACTCACTGTTGATACAGCGACGGGCATGTTTGGCCAGATCGATGGGCTGTCGGTACCAGGAGCCGGGCTGAGAAGCTTGGATTTCCCGTCGGACGTTCAATCAATGTTCGCTGACCTCTTTATCCCCCATGATGCTGGTCATCCACCTGTACAAATGGAGCCAACGCCGTCGCCGTCCAACATATCAACTCAGGCATTGGTAAGGACGTACGGCTCTGAACACGACATGTGGGTTCTGCATTGCCCCAACCAGACTACTGGTCCCTTCTAATCTCCCAGGCAGACTCAACGCCTACTATGACTTTATTCATCATTATTTCCCTATTCTTCCGCCCAGGGCAGCTCCGGCCTCTCCAGACAGACCATTGGATGCGGTTGGATCATATTCCGAATCTCCGACAGAAGAACCTCTTCTATTGTATAGACCACGGTCCCCTCTTAGCCTTGCTTTGTCTGCAGTCTTGGCCCTCATACCCCATCCAAGTGACTTGGAGCCTTCGTCTCCTGCCTCTGTTATCCGACGTAGGACGTATGCACATACGTTCTCCCAATTGGCCAATTCCAGCATCGAAACAGATTGTGAGCTCCATGCCTCTTCTACCGATCCTTCACAGGCGCTGTCAAGTGAACGCCCTCTCATCAATAGAGAAAGCTTCCATCCCCATGCACCCGTGGAACTCGAATCTATTCTTGCGCTCTTGGTTCTCTCCGTGTACGAATACACTCAGCGGGGAAATCTGCTTAAGATGCGATACCGTGCGGGTCAGGCATTGGCGATCGCGCTAGACATGTCTCTGCATTCTTTGGGAGAAGAGTATGATGAATTCGCGGAAGGTCGAAGAAGAGCTTGGTGGATGACGGTATGTCTGGTTTGACTGGAATCATGTCTAGTCTGCTAACCTTGTTGTTACCTTAGTATTACTGCGTTCTTCAAGGGTCGATTGTCAGCACAACAGTGAGTTTTCTCCAGAAATATGCCGCCATCCCCCCTCGCCTCCAACACACACAAAAACATCTTTGATGGTTTAGTTGTTAACGCAGTCAACCAGCCACTTGCCATTGTTGCGAACGACCCTCAGTTTGTAACACCTTACCCACGCTTTGCCGCCGATCCAGATGTAAGTCTCGCCTGCGCTCTTCCACCAATTAGAGATTCCGTGCGGAACTCAACTCAGGAGGCGATCTCTAACATGATCTACAGGGTTGGGCTGTTCTGATGCAAGCTCAGCAAGTGCTAGTTTCAGCAACTCAATTCGTAATTGACCTGAACAAATGTATATCAACAAGGACAAACATGCCTTACATCTACGAGCGAATGCAGCAACTCGACACATGGGCGAGCTCAGCATTGGCGCAGTCGAACCTGCTTCCTATTGTTCCCCCTTCCATGAATTGTGGCGATGGTATGGAATTCACAACGGCTCAAAGTATACGTTCAATTTCCAGAATCAAGTTGTCCAGGTAGGTATTCGTATGAAAATCGCATTCCAGCATATCACTGATCATATCCTAGCGCACAAATCAAAACTCACCGCTTTAGAGCATTTTCAGACATCCCTATCTTCATTAAAAAACATTGTGACCTAACTGCGGCCAATGCCAACAACCTAACAACATGCAATTCTACCAAGGATTCCAGAGTGCAAAGTGGGATTAGCGACATTCGATGCTCGTGCGGAGGTTTGGAACCATTTCAGCAGTCGTCGAGCGAGTACACCCCTTCCACCGCTTCATCCACGTCCTCAGACTATCAGTCGATCTCCCAGTACTCGTTTACCAGTGGATTCCCCTTCAGCATCCAACACTCCGCCAAAGTTTGCCTTAGGGCTTCTCTGCTGATCTCACGCATGTTCCCAAGTCTACCCATACCGCAACCGATTATGGACGAGCCAAAGAGCCCGCAGGGGCTGACGTTACAACCGCCGAACCAGCTTCCTCGAACTATGCCATCATTTGCCTGCTGTTTGATGCAAGGCAGCTACGCTATGCTAATGATATTCTACAAAGCACGTGTAGAAAAGCAGCTGTCACCAGACTATGGAAACAAGACTACTCCCTCAGATCGATTGATCGAAGAACTCAGGCAAGGACTGGAGCGAATCATTGCTACCGTAACCAATTATGCAGCTGCTTTTGAGGCGTTAGACGGCATGAGAGGTAAGTCTTATTGCTATCCATGCTCCAGACAGAGTATGAGCACCGCAAACTAATCATGAACTTAGATGAAATCGAAGGTGCATATCAAACGGCGTTCCCTCAACCATAATTTTCTTCCTGGCTTCTTGATCTTTTCGTCTTTTTCTTTCTTATAACTTTCGAGTCCGTTCTCATACCCATTTTACCGTTCTTTTGCTTCATCTCGGTGGGGCGCGATACTTCTTTTTCATGGGGTTTGATATCTGGTACGTCGGAATACTGGGATGGATGGATAAACCAGGCATCACATAAACAAAAAGCGAACTTATAACATTCATATGCGGCGTTATATATCTTAGGGCTATGGAATATGGGGGTTCACCTGTACCAATTTAATGACGATAACTACGAACAATCATCTCCTTTCAAATATCCTACCAATGGCGGCTATTTAATAGTATTCAGGACTGTAAAGCGCATCAGGTTCATAGAAAGGTTAAAAGTTTCGCGTCTATTATGTCCCCAACATTGTAATCAATATCTGTGCAGCAGAAGCAAAGTATTCTATTTAAGATCCACCATAACATAGGAATGAGCTCTATCTTTTTTTCCCTTGAAACTCTCCACCCAGAGAAGTGTACAGAAGTGTACAAAGAATAGGGCTGCCTAAGGTGGGCAATAGCAAACCACACCGGGCTGGGAGCAGGATTTAGTAGATGTCAGTGGAAAGGGTTGATGGAGAGAGTATGTGTCAAGTACGGAACTGCGGCTAGAGCTTTGAGCGGATTCCTTCCAGTCGGAACTTTACATCCTTCAGAACCTTGCTGGTCGGTTTCCAGTCGTCAAACTGTCGTAGCAGTTCCATTGTTTCTTCGTAAAGCTCGCGTCGGACGTACTCTTCTTCAAGGAGGCCGCGCATGGCGAACGGGAGGATGTAAGGGTTCACTGATGAAGCCGGGGGGCTTCGCTTGACGCTAAGCGTTGCATCTTGGACATTCGACGTTTCCAGAGCGAATTCAATGGCCAACCTAGAACAACATTAGCGTAACGAGCTCTAACTCAAACAAAAGTAACATACCGATACACAGCCTCATCATCATAGAGACGTGAGTGGCCATCGCCACTATACAGACTACCTGCTAAAGGCGAACTCAATTCGCGGATGAGGCCATGATCTGGGAGCCCAAGATTTCGAAGCTTAAGAGCAAACCCGACCAAATGTGATAAGCTGCGAGACATATCAGCGGCGGCTCCAAAAACAAGGTTATCACTTGAAGCAGGAATAACATACAAACTTGGAGCATGTACTCTACCGTCGACAAATACTGCTCGGTAGATATACGGATGAGCCATCGGCGAAAATAGCGATGACTGTCATTGAAAACTAACATTAGCCGTTGCGCAAAAGTTGTTGATGAACCCGGGAAGCACACACCTCTAGAGAAACGAGTTGGTCATCGATACTTCCGATATAAGAAATCCGTACACCGAAATCGAGACAGGCTCTAAGCGCTGCCTCATAATCCTTTGAAACTTGACTGTGAGGCAATGCGAATTCAAAAAGCTCACCAGCAGAGCCACTAATCCATCGTGATCGATAGTCGGAGAAAGGCCCCATGTTCACACCGGCCATGGCACATATACCGACCCGCGCAGCGTTAAGGCATCCAAAGGATATTAACTTCGCAACCAACATTATTGCAACAGGAACACCTTGACTATGGCATGCAATCAGTAGGAAGTCTGCCTGCCTTATCTTTTCCATCCAATTGAGTAGTAGTTTCCACAATAAATCAACTCGTTCAGCAATGCGACCTTCGCCTTCTAACGCTATCTTTTCAATATCGCATGTATATGCATGATCGTCTGCCCAGTTTTTAAGAGCATCTGCCGCCATGTTCGAAAATCTGATAGATGTACCAGTCGGCTGACCAAGGACTGTCCGAATTAACGGGGCGGGGAAGTACCCGTGTATTCCTATAGCCAATGCTCTTTTGATGGGCGGTGGGTCCTTAATCATGTAAACATGTCTATTGTCTGGCTCCTTGCTGTAGTGCAAGAATCGCCCTATTGACTGTAACAGACTAGGCTTCTCTTGCAAAGCGAAAGTGTCTCTGAAACGTGGGAGGACCTGGTTAGGTAAAATCTTCTGTAGATGCTTTGAAGCTGTTGCTTCGGACGTGTTTACTGCAGAAGCAGTGGAGTTGGAATCTGGCCCAGAAACAGCCTGTTCAGGGAGGATAGAACTGCTCTTGGGAGATTTTATCTTAAGAGTTCCCTTCTTTGAGAGCTCTACCTTTTGTTCCGGCTCGGATTCGGGATCATCGTTGGGTTTCTTTATTATGGAATCCTGGGCAGTAGAGGCTTCAACGGACTGGACTTCCAGGGACTTCACCGGCGAAGCGTCTTGTGAAGTCTCTCTGAACCAGAAAGACCAGCCTGACGGTTTAGCACTTTTAGCAGGTGCATCTGCTGGAATGTCTGCAATAGGCTCGTTTACATTTTCATTTGATGTAGGTGGTGTATCAGCAGGGGGTGTTGGTCCATCTGCTGCTGGCGGGTTCTCGCGGTGGGGTTCTTCTAAACCCTTCGAAGATGATGAGCCGTACCACATCTGGAGCCAGGATCGCTTTTGTGCTGTGTCGTCAATCTCTGCTGTTTCAGGAGGCTTTGTTTCCTCTGCTTGACCTTGATTGGCAGGTGCAGCGTCCTCCTCTTTTGAGGTCTGATTTTCTGCAGCTTGGTCCACTGGGGCCGGGGTTGAATCTTCCGGGAAGCTATCTGGAGGGTTTTCAATCCTGGAGGGGGGCCAGACCCATGAAAACCACCCACTTGGTTGCGACAGCGTTTGTTCCTGACTCGTTTCTACCTCCCCAGACCCTGCATTTGTCTCAGTCTCAACATTCGATTGGTCGTTACCAATGTTTCCTCCCGTGCCGGCGCCTTCGTCATTTGACGATTCCTTATTTATTGACTCGGTTGCTGAGGCAGTAGAGTTAGGCTGGGCTTCTATTGCTGGTGAAGACGCAGTGCCATCGGATGCGATATTGATTCGGGTGGTGGTGGCGTTGGCAGGAAGGGAGCGAGTCGAAGCGCCAACTTTTCTAGTAAGTTGTAGAGAAGGATTTCGAGGGTGTTTAGGAGAAGCAAGCTGCGACACTGGCGAGGAAGTAAGGCTTGAAGCTACGTTTTGGGCAACCGAGATGCTCTCACGGGCAACCTCGGTAACTGGGGCCGCTTTAGATGATTTGGAAACGGGCCAGGCTCCTGGGTACCAATTCTATGAGAACAACCCTAATCAGCTACCAGAGAATACAGACACAAAGGATAGTAGAATAATGCACTTTGTAAAATTATACGAAATTCTCAAACTTACTCCACTACCGCCTTGTTTCAGTGAGCCCGAGCGTCCTCTGTCTTTCGACGGTAATGTCGTCCCATCATTCGACGCTTGTGAATCCGCAACTGACGGAATGGACTTTACTCTCTTGCGAGAACCCGTGGGCGCCATGAAAGTAGAATATAAAACATTACCATACCATCAACTGCATAGAAATTGTTGAACAAATTTGGAGGACAGTGGCCTCCAAAGCTACAGGAGTCGAAGATAAGCCATGGGGTGGTGGTGCCTGTTGGTGATCTGCGTCGAGTCAAAGCCACGGGGGGAAGAGAGAGATTTAGTCGGCCCAATAGACAACAGAGGTGATATCACGTCACATGGATTCCCGACCCCTGACCGCCTTTGGTGCCTGGGGTATAAGGCTAGATACGTTGTAAGCGTTGGGAGTGTGGCTAGTGACCAGCCACCGCCACAACTGACAGAAGGTGAAAAAAAAAAATTATCTTACAGGCGGTGTGGAGTCGAGATCCAGGCGGCCGATAACTTTTTTCTTGCGCTGGTTTTTTATATCAATATCATTTAACCAGGACACCATCATTCTGTCAATTCGGGTCTTTTCGTCGAGCCCACCTCGATACCCGTCTTTGAAAATGGCGATCCAGAAGAAGGTACGCTACAGATTTTGCATAAATGATAGAAGATAATTCATTTACTGACTGCGAGTAGCATGGTAAGGGTCGTTTGGATAAGTGGTATCGCCTTGCGAAGGAGAAGGGATACAGAGCTAGAGCTGCGTTTAAGCTGATCCAGCTGAACAAGAAATATGGTTTCTTGGAGAAGAGCAAGGTCGTTCTCGATCTTTGTGCTGCACCAGGTGTACGTGTTGATGCATCTCCTACGCCAGCATTATTCTCTAACAATACATAGTCATGGTGTCAAGTGGCTGCTGAGTGTATGCCCGCTCAAAGTATTATTATCGGTGTCGATCTCGCCCCTATCAAGCCAATTCCACGAGTTATCACTTTTCAGAGCGATATCACGACCGAGAAGTGTCGCACAACTATCAGGCAACACTTGAAACATTGGAAGGCGGATACAGTACTTCACGATGGTGCTCCAAACGTCGGTACAGCGTGGGTTCAGGACGCTTTTTCGCAAGCAGAGCTGGTCTTGCAGTCGATGAAATTGGCTACGGAATTCCTCGTTGAGGGCGGTACCTTTGTCACTAAAGTCTTCCGATCTAAGGACTACAATGCATTGCTGTGGGTTTTCAAACAATTGTTCACGTCGGTGGAAGCCACAAAGCCCCCCTCGTCTCGAAATGTCTCCGCCGAAATTTTCGTTGTCTGCCGTGGCTTTAAGGCACCAAAGCGCATGGACCCTAAGTTCCTTGATCCGAAGCACGTATTCGCAGAATTGGCTGATCCAACCCCAAATAACGAGGCTCGTGTATTTGACCCTGAGAAGAAGAAGCGCAAGAGAGATGGTTATGAGGAAGGCGATTGGACGCAATTTAAGGAGATACCCGTCACCGACTTCATTAACACAACTGACCCAATTGCCATTCTCGGTCAATACAACAAACTCAGCTTTCAACAGCCCCTCAATGGAGATATCGCACTGAGCACCATCAACCGGCTGGAAGAAACGACAGAAGAAATTCGCAAATGCTGTGAAGATTTGAAAGTGCTGGGCAAAAAGGAATTCCGCAACTTACTACGATGGCGATTGAAAGTCCGTGAGAAATTTGGTCTTGTCGTAAAGAAGGGAGGGCAGGCCAAAAAGGATGAACCCGAGGAAGTGGCCGAAATTGCCCCAATGGATGAAGAACTAGCCATTCAGGAGGAACTGCAGCGCCTGAGGGAGAAGGAAAGCTCCAAGTCGAAAAAGGAGAGGCGGAAGGAGAATGAGAAGAAGCGCAAAGAGATCGTCCGCATGCAGATGCATATGACGACCCCTATGGATATTGGTATGGAGCAAATTGGTCCTCTTGGAGATGATGCACCGTTTTCACTCAAGCGTGTTGAGAGAGAAGGTGCAAGGGATACGATCGCTGCTGGAAAAGAAGTAACGATTGAGAGTGAAAGCGAAGATTCAGAATCTGATGATGATGCCGAGAGTGACGATGAAGGCGATCGACTGGAAAGGGAACTGGATTCGCTATACGAGCAATACCAAGATCGCAAAGAGGACAAGGATACGAAACTAAGAGCCAAGAAAGCCAGGAAGGATTTCGAAGCCGACGAATGGGAGGGCTTTTCGGAGTCGGGCAACGAAGAGTCAGATAACGAGGACTCCGAATTTGGTACAGCGAATGGCGTAGCACCTCCGAAGAATGGGACATTATCCAATAATGCCGCATTGTTCTTTGACCAGGATATCTTCCAGGGCTTAGAGGATGTTGATGACGTTGAGGATGAAGATGAGGATGAGAATGAGGACAGTGTCATTGAGATGGACGAGGACGACAATGACTATACGGAGAGCAAGAATTCTGTTTCAAAGAAGCAGAAGGCAAAGGATGCGAAGGCAGGCACGCAAATGGTCTTGGACTCTTCGGATGAGGAACCCGAGGAACTTGATGAGCCTCGGAAGGAGAATGGTCAGCTTGGTGAGTGTTGCTAAATCAGATTGTACGGTTGCTTCTACTGTTGCTAACTGTAAACATAGACATTGATATTATCACTGCGGAGGCCATGGCCCTGGCTCAGCAGATGGCTAGTGGTGAAAAGAAGTCGCATGACGTGACTGATGATGGGTTCAATCGGTACGCTTTCCGAGATGTTGACGGCCTTCCGGAGTGGTTCCTCGACGACGAGACGAAGCACAGTAAACCAAATCGGCCCATCACTAAGGCCGCTGCGGCTGCAATCAAGGAGAAGCTGCGTGCCATTAACGCTCGACCAATCAAGAAGGTCATGGAAGCAAAGGGTCGAAAGAAGTTCAAGGCTGCGCAGAAGCTAGAGAAACTACGCAAGAAGTCTGCACTACTGGCGGATGATGAGGCACTCAGCGAACGTGACAAATCACAGGCCATTTCGAAGTTGATGAGCAAGGCGACCAAGAAGAAGCCTAAGCAGCAGGTGAAGCTGGTCGTGGCCAAGGGCAACAACAGGGGTATCTCTGGTCGTCCACGCGGCGTGAAGGGCAAGTATAAGATTGTGGATTCCCGGATGAAGAAGGATGTCCGAGCTCAGAAGCGTCTTGCAAAGAAGAAGCAGAAGTAAAGGGAGCAAAGGTCATATAGACGAATACCATGCGTCGTGGTCCGCCGGTGTAATTGAGTTGCAAAATTTGATACCCATTTGAGGGGTGTGTATGTATAGAAACCGCATATTACAGCATCTTATATATATTCAAGTACAGAATTGTTGTGTCAGTGAAATCTGTATGCTATGGATTAGATTCCATCAAGGTAAAGTATACAGAAGAAAGCAGCTAGCACTATGGAGTAAGTCTGGATGACAACGGAGTTGCTACGATTGTGAGTGGTCTTTACTCCGAAAACCACGATCTTTCCACCTTGCACTCCCGTGAAATTGGAGCCCAATAGCCAACATAAGGTAAACTCTCCAAGCCAGGACGTATCCGGCCCACCAGACCTATATCCAGCACATGACCTGAAACTTGTTTATCTTCCATCCGCCCTTATTTCAACTACCCATATCTTGTAGCTTAGGGCAGAATAGAGGTAATTGTAAAGCAGTCTTCAGCCGAGGCAATATCATGAGTGCATCATATATCGGAGCTCGATCGGCGGCTGTTGGACTGTAAAGTCTTCTTTGCTATGAGTGAAGATCCCCAACCATTCGTAAATACTTAGAGTACGCTGTATAGCGGATGTGGTGTCTGCATCATGGTCGTCAGAGCCTGAAATGCCGTTCACCTCTGCAACACCACTCATTCCTGCAACTCGCTGTAAATTCCATTGCATTCGAGTAATGTTCGACTCGGGAGTGGCATATCTCGGGGATTACTGGTGTTGAGTGTGAAAATATCGCCAGAAGCAATAGCTTTGTATTCTGGCTCCGCCTGGTCTTTGAATTTGCCAGTACGCACCCCGATGTAATGATCCCTGACACTGAACATTCCGCGAGAAGACTCTGGTTCTGTTAAGAGGTTAATTTCAGTTAGAGCATCTAGTACTCCTCTTTGCCAGTAGAACTGAACTTTTAGGGTCGTAGGATCATCGTTTTCCATTGGTCGGAGCGCAAATAGACCATTCCCCCACAGTGCATGTATGTACTTGTCGAGGTACAGCATATTAAAGCATCCATGCTGAGGTCCTTGCAGATCGTTTGGGTTGCCGAATATTTCTGCTTTCCATCTCTGTATGCGACTATTGTCCCAAAACACACCCTAAATGTCCCAGAAGTTCCTAACAGCTCGTGGATCACCTGTGGAGGCTTTGAGAAAGGCAATTCGGGTATATATGGGCGGCGTCTGGGCACCCCGAGCCGGTTAATATACACCTGTCGTTGTCTCGCCTTTTGCACTGTTGAATTATGAGCAAAGTCATCCAATTCATGAAGAATTACAAACATTGCGAGTTGCTGCACCCAAGCAGTCTTAATGACGTGTACTAAAGCTTGTTCCTTCTATTGGTTAATTGTAGAATCACAATCCTTAATATTCCGTGGTTAGCTCCAGCAAGACTTATATGACCCTAGATTCCAACCGAGCTTAGCTCATTGATCGTATCTTCTAGTCTTGGAATGTCAGCAATCTGGCAGCATAGCTGGTTTCAGCATTCATTGTCAATACTAGATATCGGGGAACCAGTTGATCAAGGATCACTGCCCAAGACAAGTAGAGCGGCGAAGTATGTACAATATTTTGATCAATAAGTCAAGAATATATAGTCCTTACTTTAATCATAGATCAATTATCTGTAATCGGTCAAACTATTCAATTATTCATGCAATCCATGCAATCCATGCAATTCACACAATTCACACAATTCACACAATTCAAGCAGTTTGAGCACTTTAAGCAAGGGATTTAATAAAGTATAGTTTTGCTCGACCCGGGAAAGCGCAGGTCAGTTTGATCACTCCATTACATGACCTGAATATCCTGTCTGTAACTTCAAAATATATACAGTTACTACCTATGGCAGTTGTCAATAGTTATATATACCTAAGATATAACCCGGAGACACACTCTGGCTATTTGTACTGCTTGTATGGCTCACCCTTATATTCTATAGAAAATGGTCAAAAAGTATCCAATAGTTTTTCAAATTTTAAGAGTTTTGCTTTCTCCATTCATATTAATCTCTAAAAAGCAAAGCATACTATGGAATACAGAGGACCAGAGTGACTCAGCCGCTGACCGGATACATTCGGTGGTATAATACTAGTAAGATATCGCATGTGAAGAAGTAAGTGATGTGATGAGAAGTGGAATACAATGGAGTTGGAGGCAGGCTTCTGCGTTCTGATTGGCCGCTCAAGTGGAACGCCACATGACTCTGGTAGAATATTCTATATTAACCCGCCAGGATCCCTGGACTCTAGCGTAAGCTGCTTCAATTATAGAATATTTACGGATTATTAAAATACTACTCTCTGCAAGTCTTGGGCAGTGGTCCTTGATCCGCTGACCTATCGGTATCTAGGATAGATTATCGATATGCCGATCTTATTATGATCGAGGGTCGAGACCGTGGGCGTTACTCAAGTTTTGGACGATATCGCAAAAGATGAGCTGCATAATGTCTTAAGTGCTTACACTAGCTCATGAGCCATGAGAACCGAACAACTCCGTTGCCATCAAGACATCTAACACATCACATTTTAAGGACATGATCACGTTCGGCACCTCAGGGAAAATTAGCGGAATGGACCACCAGCGAGTCTCTGCATGTGCCAATCTGGAGTCGATTTGTTCATCACGATTATCCTGCTGGTACCGCTATTTCTATGTACCACCAGACACCCGAACAGAGCATCAGAAAGCCCCTTGCAACCCCTGTTTAACGGGGTCTTTGTCTTACCAGGTTACCTATTACCGCTGGCTTCTATTATACTATCGAAAATGGCAGACGTTGGTACACAGTCCCTGGGGATCAATTTGCCTCCAGGCTACTCCCTCCAAACCGCAGCAGCTCGTCCAGACATGTATGAGACCTTGTTTGATCCCGAACATCCAATGAGCTCTCTTTGGCCCAAATTCATTACATCGACGCCTGTTACGGAAAAATACTGGTCACAATTGACAGAAATTCCACTCTTCGCGTCATACCAATTGGTAATCCTCCACAAAGACGTGGATAACGAGTACGAATCAGTGGTGGCTTGTGGAAATTCAATTCCAGTCCGTTGGCCACTCAATGACTTGCCCGATGGTGGATGGGAAGCTATCCTGCAGGCTGGTATTGAGAACTATCAAGCCGGCCGTGAACAGCCTCCCAATTTGCTTTCCGCGCTTAGTGTCATGGTGCACCCCGCTCACAGACAGCACAGGCTGGCTGATATTCTCATCTCCACTTTGAGAGGGCTCGCCAGTCAGGCCCACTTTGAAGCCTTGGTTGTACCTCTGCGGCCAACCAGGAAGAGCGAACATCCTACGGTGCCTTTACAGGAGTACGTGCATTGGAAACTTGATGATCATACCCCGTATGATCCATGGCTGAGGAAACACCTCGCATACGGAGGCCAAATTTTTCGAATTGCTCACCGCAGTATGACAATCACCGCGCACGCGGATCAGTGGAAAGACTGGACTGGATGTGACTTGGCCGCCTTAGCCAAGTCAGGCGTGGAGACCTCCTCAGGGGGGCATATCGATGTACCTATCCCCGGTGCCCTGGTACCTGTCCAATATGACCCCGTTTCCGAGACTGCTTCGTATGTGGAGCCCAATGTCTGGGTAGTTCACCCAATGCATTAACGTAACCTAAGGTCGTCATCTTGCATATGGCACAATTGGAGGTTTCGTTGGGAATTAACGGCCTGCAGTTAAGTCACCAAGTGCCAGGGCCCATAGTGTCAGGTATGAGAGATTATAAGAAATCAAAATATCAATATATCTATATTGTACTTCAAACCTCGAATTAGAGAAAATCTAGCGTCTCTACATGCAGACTGCGAATTTTCGCAGTCACAAAATATTCTACTGTGAGTACTTTAGCAGTATTCAGATCTTCGTATTCCTCTATTCCTGTTACATATGATGGGTGCCGTACAACTTCCCGTTGAGACCGAGGCGTGTCTTCACGATGACGCCGCAAGCCGACCGATCTCTGATTCAAACACCGTACGGGTAGCCGTCCTTAGACAACACCAGTATCACTCTAGTGTGACATACCACAGGCTGGATGATAACAGATTAATCCCGGGCGTCGTGGGATATTCCTATCTTCGCGATATTGCAGATGAGGGAAAGAAACAATCCCCTAGCAAACAGCACGCCCGAGTAATACAAGCCTATTCGAAGATTCACTCTCTCCTATCCCCACCAAGAGAACCAGGCCCTATAGACTCAGAAACAAAGACTCGAGAGAAGAAAAGCTCGCCTGTCATCGTTCACGATAAAAGGTGTGCTTTCATAGAGCGACTTGAGCCACCTCCAAACTCCAAGGCGGATATAGTGAACACTGTATTCGCCCAAGTCAATCTGCGGACACCAGTCGGTCCTCCTCTGGATCAATTCGTCAACTGCCGCTCATCGAATATCAAAATAAATGACTTGAAGGACTCCGCGAATGGCCTTTGTCGCCCTATCACAATCAGTACAGGTATATGCCTGTTCTCATCTCGGCTCCTAGGATTCATCCCTACAAATGGACTATCCACTACCGATGGCGCTACAGAGACAGTCATCCCCCCATTGCCTTACAGTGCGGATGCAACTTTCTACGAACTTGAAACATGTGCACGGATGGCAATGACTATTGCAGGCCTTGCCGTTACCGCTGGCACAGGTGGCACAGCTGGTTCTCGGCCAATTGTTGTGAGGTTAGATGTGCCTTGTCTCCAGTATTACTGCTACCCATTGGAGCTTCTTCAGGCAGGACTGGTGAGCTGGAAGTACGTTCAGGAGTGGTTCAGACTGGTCGATCGCCGGCATCGGCAAGTCGCAGGCTTGCTGAAGGATACCATTACTCATGAAGTACTTCGACGGGGCGGTGATATTCAGGTGGAAGTCACCGCTGGCACTATAGCCGCAACTCAGCTTTTGCGTCTCAGTGTTTTCGACCGAATGGAATTACCGAGCGTGGATGATATTCTATTTGTGCTGAAGTGGGTCGGTCCCTATCAGGCGGCATGGCGAGAATTTCTGGATATTCTTGATGATTGTCAAAGGCCCAAAGATCTTCGCAGTGTTGCACTAATGGCTTATGTCTTTGAGGTCATGTATCCCGCATTGCATCAGATAGCTACCAAATCTCTACATGGGAATGGCGAGAAGAGTGGTCGCCCTCTACTGATTCAGGTAGACGATATAGCCGAGTGGAGAATCTTTGACCACGCAGAAAAGCTCCTCAAGCGCTTCAAAGAGCGACAGCATGGTTTTTATCCCCTCCTGGTTGGCGTGTTTCCCTCACCACGAATCTTTACGAGTGAGGATCAAGGGCGCTCTACCCTGTTCCTTCATGACCCTGGTTTAAAGATTTTGCAAACTCGCTCTCCCTCTAGCAATAGTGAAGAAGGCTCATGCGTTGTGCGCCCGTTAGATATCATTGGTCAGATCTATGGAAGAGAGGTTCAGGATACACTTGGGCAACTAACAAGAAAGCACGGTTTATCTGCTGCTGATGGACCCGAATCAGATTAGATCTCCAGTTTCTACACTATCCGAGTATATTGTTCTAGACTTTTTGCATGTTATTTATTCACCCGTCTTGCACAAGGAAGGGATGCTGTCGATATTGGAGTGGTGACCCGTGAGAGGCATCGAATTGAGGAATCAATCGTCGTAGCCTGGAGTGACTGTACTCTGTACCGTTCGTTGCAATCACGTTAACTTGCATGGGCCACGATGGCCACATCAATTTCCCATACAAATTTGTACAAACCCCTATAGCCTGGGACTTGCATATATAATTTCAGTAGCCTATAAAATCTTAATTAACGTTATTCTTACCTACTACTAGTAGTATTTAGTCCAAGGCACGTGACATGGAATTTGAGCGACCAATCAGAATCCAGAGTTTTTTCGCGCAGCATATGGATGGAAGAATGAGCAGGTGGGTAGATGTTCATAGAAATCACGCACTTGATATGCATGGAGAACTATAACTGCCAGTAGTAAAAATCTTTCAAGGATAGAAGTTTACTAAATAGAGTCATGATAATTTTAAGGCTCGGGCACGCGGTTGGGGGTTGAAGAAGAGATGTACGCACCAGGTTGCCAAGTGATCATCAGAAGGCGCAGAGGAATGCAAAGTACTCTATAATTTTCGTCGTCACCCCAAGAGTACGGAGGAGGACGGAGGGACTACTGTGTACACGCGGGGAGGGCGGCTTAGAGACCCGAGTCGACGGAAGGCGGGTGTGCCTAAGGTTAAAATCTTAGGACATGCGGCCCAGAGTGGCGGCGCTGAAACCTTTATCGATCGCCGCTTCTTTTTAGCTAAGGCTTTGCGCGGCTCTTTTCTTTGACAATCCCGCTCGGTCAACGGTCTTTTCCTTCTCCTTCTACCCTCCTTTTAACTCGTTCTGCATTTTCGCGCTGGTCATTCCATTCTTTCAAGTATTCTTTCACTGCTCTTTCCAGTACATATGTTACCTCAAGTATTTTAACTCTTGTCCATATACCCTCACACATATCGGGTCTGTACAGTACATCCCCGCCTGAGTGCGGCGCGTTCAGCTTTACTCGATGGGATTCTTTGACCACCTTCAGAAAGGAGGAGGCTTCTCTCTACAACCAAAGAAGCCTCAAATCCGTAAGGTCGTTCAGACACGACCTGCGCCTCCTTCAAGAACGTCATCACTGACCCCGGGCACATCGTCGCGTGCCTCACCCTCTGACAAGCCGAAGAGAACGCAAGGATCGGGGAGCAGGTCAGTCTCGAGAGATCCAGACCTTCCATCTTCGAAACGGCGATTGAACACTCCGTCACAGAATCGAAAGCGACCAACTCCAGAACAACGACTTTCGAGTGATGACGATTCCAGTGACACGGATACGTCGTTCGAAGTTCGTAAGCGCGCGAGAACGGGCGACAGTGCGGAGCCAGATTTGGAGAGGCGGGTACGCTCCTTGAAGGCATTCTCAGAAGGAGGAGTTAAGTCATTGCCGATCGTACATGCAGCCGACATCACATCTGTTCAAAAGGCGGGGTGTTTCAAACCAGCTTTTGGAGGCACGGGCCGGCCTACAGAGATATTTTTGCAGTATCCAAGTGCTTCCCCGAAAGAGAGGTATGATATCATGCCAAATTGACACGGATGGTACTTGCAGGATTTGCTAACGAGTCTACTTCGTACAACAGATACAACCTTGTTGTACCCCGTGACAAAGACGATTTTAGACCTATCGACGATATATTCCAAGTTATCGAAACTGTATCCCAACATTACATACCGGAAGACGAGGCGGACTATTTTGATAATGAATCAACCGGGATTAAGAGAAGACTACGAAGAGCGCTCGCCCACGCATCCGAAGCGGAGTTTCGAAATGTTGTAACGGACTATAATGATGCGATCGAACGACTAAGGCGCGACGGCAGTATCGCCAAGAAATTAGACTCGACTCATCGGCTGAATTTACCCCTCGTCGAGAGGATCTTAACCCAAATCTATTCGCGCACCGTGTCACCTCGGGTTGAATCACTCCGTCAATATGAAAACGGGACGGACAATGTCTACGGAGAATTGCTACCTCGTTTCATCAGCACTATTTTCAAAGAGACGGGATTGAAGTCGGGTCAGGTTTTCGTCGATCTGGGATCTGGCGTGGGGAACGTTGTTTTGCAGGCCGCGCTGGAGATTGGGTGTGAAAGCTGGGGTTGCGAGATGATGCAAAATGCGTGCGAGCTTGCCGAACTCCAGCAGGCCGAGTTCAGGGCTCGATGTCGTCTGTGGGGAATTGCACCAGGGAAAACGCATCTCGTCCGGGGGGATTTTCTCAAAGAGCAGAGTATCATCGATGTCCTAAAGCGCGCAGATGTCATCTTGATTAACAACCAGGCCTTCACTCCACAACTCAATAACGAGTTGATCAATCACTTTCTAGACATGAAAGAGGGTTGTCAGATCGTGTCCCTCAAATCATTTGTCCCTGCAGGCCATAAAATACAGTCTCGGAATCTCAACTCACCTATCAATCTTCTCAAGGTGAAGCAGAGGGAATATTGGTCCAACAGTGTCAGCTGGACCGACGTTGGTGGCACTTATTTCATCGCTACTAAAGACAGCTCTAGATTGAGAGCTTTTGCAGAGAGCATGGGGTGAGATGCCCCAGCTATGCGCTGCGCGGTCACCGAGACTACCAACAAACTGGTTTTGGGCAACTTTCTACCTTCTTACTTTTGGTACGTTTTGTTTATCCTGGGCTGATAAATACTACATACAATTCCCTGTAGACCTTTCTTCGGTGTATTATTTCCTATTCTTACCTCCTTTTTTATCTTTTATTTCTTTTTTGGAAATAGTTACTTGTCTCGAAGATATGATACCACTGTTCTTGTATAAATGTTGGCATGATTTCTTCATTTCTCTGGGATGTCTGTTTTTGGCTCTTCACCTGTTGTGCACAGGAACCTCTTTTTGGCCTCTTCTTAAATGTCCTGGGTTTTCCTGGCACGTCGTACAAGGTATTGCAATGCTTGAGTTGCGCCACTGGGGTCAGTGAATAAGTGGGTATCATGCAAATATGGTATAGATATGGTTGATACAGATCTGCATACAGCCTCGAGGAAGCCCGCAATCTTAGCCTGGTTTGGGAGTGCTCTAGAAACAATAAGAATAGTTTCTGCTGCCTCAAATCTCGTAAACATCATGAAAATCGCGAGGCTTCGTTCATCGCCTCTGCTTCTTTGCCCATCCTTGCCATCCAACGGTCGACTAACTCCTGGTTTTCCTTCTGTAGCCTGTTGGACCGCTCCTCGGCCATATTGAGCTGCAGGTTTAGCGATGCAAGCTCGTCTTGGAAATCCTGAGAATCGCTCAGTCAACAAATCCTATCCGGCACAGAGAAAAGTGTCCTACATCTAGCAATTTTGCCTTTCCCTTCAACTCCTCGTCCCTATCCTTCAATCGCAGTTGCAACTGAGCAACTTCTTTTTCTAGCGCAGCAATGCGACGTGAGTCCTGGGAGCTTCGTTTTCGCAGTTTCTCTAGCTCGGCCGTTGTGCGAGTAAGCCGATCCTGTAGCTCCGATCGGGACCGTTGCGCCTCAGATAGATCGGTGCGCGCTGCAGCTAAAGCATCCTGGAGAGAAGATCCCGACGACGCTACACCTTGTTTCATGGGATCTGGCACTAGAGGATGGGGGATATCATTATGACTGTCTGTCGGGGTAGAGCTTTGGGCACTGTTGACAGCCGTTGCTGCTATACGGCCGGTCCGATCGGCAAGTTGGGTATCTGGAGCAATGAATGATTTGTCAGTGAGAACGAGGAACCACGTGGGATCATTACGCTCCAGGCATAGATGTCCCTTCAGGGCGTACAGGCATTTAAGATAGCAACGTTGGCTTTTTCTCGTCGATCGCGAGCCGCCAGAGCGGCGGAGTACTCCTCTCTCCAGTGGGCCATTGATAATCACGATAAGCGATGTCGAATGGAGCAGCTTTAAATCACGGATACATTGTGGCACGAGTAAGTCCCACAGTAAATTAGGAGCACGGTACAATTTTTACTAGTAGTCGGAGTTGTATGGAAGGCTTTATCAAATATTTTCGAAGTGCTATCCAAAGGGAGACACGCACAACCTCTTGTACAGATAACGGTTGTTGACTGTTGAAATAATCGGACGATGCAGGAACACGTGCACACCGCCTGCTCCACCGCCCCAGCGTCATGCATCATCGAAACCAACCGCCTCCCATTAGCTTCGGCTCGTTACCGTCCAACTTAGACTAGTACTACTAACTACTACTCCGGTCCTCTCTCACTCACTCACTCACTCACTCACTCATCCTTCCTCAGCTACTTCACACCCATTTGCTAGGGCAGGGAGAACGATCAACACCCCCAAGATCTCCATTTTCCATAAAGAGCCGCTCACTCCTTCGTTTTCATTTGCGCCGCTTCCTATTATCTCCCACCGCGCATACCGCCTTACCTCTCATAGTCATAACCATGTCGTCACGGAAGAAGGTTCTCCTTAAGGTAAGGTCACCATACAAACATTACAGCTAAACTCTTGTTGACGTACATACCATCTTCTAGGTTATTATTCTTGGTGATAGCGGCGTCGGTAAAACGAGTTTAATGAACCAATATGTCCGTGGCCTTCAGTGCAGGAGAATCATGCATAGTACTGTATCCCGCTGACAACAATATCCGCCAAACAGGTCAACAAGAAGTTCAGCGCCAGCTACAAGGCAACAATCGGTGCGGATTTCCTTACCAAGGAAGTTCTAGTAGACGACCGACTGGTAACAATGCAGGCATGTGTCTCGCCAGTTTTCGATACCACAGAGCGGGTGATTAACCTGTGACAAACAGATCTGGGATACTGCGGGTCAAGAACGTTTTCAATCTTTGGGTGTTGCATTTTACCGAGGAGCCGACTGTTGTGTTTTGGTATACGATGTGAACAACTCCAAGAGCTTCGAAGCTCTGGACAGCTGGCGAGACGAATTTCTTATCCAAGCAAGTCCGAGAGACCCTGAGAACTTCCCTTTCGTATGTTTGCCTGCTCAGCTATTCCTTTTTCTTTTCTTTTCTTTTTTCTTGTTTTTCGCTTTCGATTTCCGACCTAAGGTTAACAATCAAATAGGTCGTTATTGGTAACAAGATCGATGTTGAGGAGAGCAAGCGAATGATTTCCTCAAAACGCGCAATGACGTTTTGCCAATCTAAGGGAAACATCCCTTACTTCGAAACTAGTGCCAAGGAAGCTGTGAACGTTGAGCAGGCTTTTGAAGGTAAGTCGGTCCTCTTCGACAGCTAGCTCGTTCTTCTTGTTCCTGCCACATGCTGACACACACGCAAGTCATCGCTAGGAGTGCTTTGGCACAAGAAGAGGCCGAAGAATTTAGTGGTGAATTCAGTGACCCTATCAACATCCACCTTGATAGTGAGCGCGATGGATGTGCCTGTTGATACCCTACTGATGGACATGACTTTTCAATGATTTCCAATTCATGGCCGAGATTTGCAGCTTTCCGTTTGCATTCCGAGTTCTTTTGTAGAGATGCTGTTGTTTCCTATTTTGTTGTCGGGCTTGGGGAACGGACTGTTTCCCCCAAATGCTGAGCCTATATATCTTGGGAATACTTCATGTTTGAAGTTCCTATCTCATGCTTTGGCTGCTGGGTCGCACGGGGATATCTTTTAGCAGTCGTGTTTTCTTTTTTCCTAGTGTTTACAGCCAACGTCTAATCATATCATTTAAGGAGTAATACAACTACTTGATGATAGAGTTGCGAGAGTAGTATAGCCATGGTCACGTACTATGTAATGTATGTACTATGGGGGAACAACGAATGTCCGGGACCCTGTCGATCTATTCCCAAAGGCGCAATAGACAATAGTGATATCCCGTGATCCCCTGGGCGGTGGGACTTCCGCCAAACTACTACTTTATCAGCCATGGTCTGGGGTTAACTATTCTTTTCCCCTCTCCCCTTCCAGTTGACTCTGGGCATCCCATGATTAATTCGCAGGGTGGTCGCGTCACCTGCTGGCCCAGCTGAGCTCTATCTGTCTTTCCTCAATTGCGTTGCGTGATCCACCCTGAAATCTTTCGTTATCGTGGGTGCTGGCATTACGGGATACTTGCATTTATCTCCGGTCGAGTCCGAAGCGCGAAAAGTACTCGACTGATGAACCTGATGCATGGAGCTTCGACGAAGTTTTTATCACACCAGCGTCCCCACCTTTCGATCATTTGTACATAGTTTCTTCGGCTGATATTCTTCATGGATACCTTCACCAGAATGTCTACTGGTGTCGCAAGACGAACACTTGGCATCGGGTTGCTGCTGATTGTAGTCGTCCTGTGGACGGCTTCGAATTTCCTGGCTAGCGTATGATAACCCCCCAATAACCATCTTGATGGAGGCACCTCTTCTCTCCGTATGCCTTCATCCTGAGTCGCGAGCATACTGACCTGCGTCCCAGACGATATTCGCCGACGATACGTACTCCAAACCGTTCTTTGTGACTTATATCAACACCTCGTTTTTTATGCTTCCTCTCTTTACGATACTTCTTGGCCGGATCTGGAGATTATGGCGTTCGGGAAAGCTCTCTCAGATACACTCATTTCAAAGTTTCTTGCGACACATTGATTCACATGATCCGGATGCTGAAACAGTAGGGCGGGTCAATGCTTACGAGCCCGTAGACCCTGAAACATGGAACACAGCTACGTTGGATTCGGATGGGAAAGAAGAGGAGTCTTTCAAGCTGGGCTTGAGGGCGACTGCAAAGTTAAGCCTGCAATTTTGCATGTTATGGGTAAGAATCTGTCCGATGTGCAAAACCCCTATACAGTTGTACTAACCCATTTTAGTTCCTTGTAAGTAAATCGAGACTGCGGAATGCCCTACTTTATCTGATCTAACGCGTAATGCGCAAACAGGCAAATTACTTTGCTTTGGCTTGCCTGCAATACACGACTGTAGGCAGCACCACCATTTTGACTTCTACCAGCGGTATGCATCAATCAACCACATCAACATTCAGTGGAAGTTTTAACGTCTGTGGCTACAGGTGTCTGGACCCTGATTTTCGGCGCACTCATTGGCGTTGAAAAGTTCACCATCCGCAAACTCGCCGGCGTCGTCGCCTCCTTGGTGGGAATTATTCTGATATCCCGTGTTGATCTATCTGCCTCAGAAGCACCCCCTGCAGATGATGGCGGCGGTAGCAGGTTTCCGAACAAAAGCTCCACCGAGATCGCCCTCGGTGATGCTATGGCCGGATTCAGCGCAGTCATGTACGGAGTGTATACGATTGTTTTAAAGAAGCAAGTCGGAGATGAGTCCCGAGTGAACATGCAGTTATTCTTTGGTCTCGTTGGACTCATTAATATGCTCCTCCTTTGGCCCGGTTTCATTATAATGCATTTCACTGGTATTGAGACATTTGCACTCCCTGACACAGGCACAGTTTGGACAATCATTTTGGTACTAACTGCCTCCCGTTGCTCTCTCCTATGCATGATATCCGAACTATACTGATGTCTGATTTCTTAAGGTCAACTCCGTATCCTCGCTCTTGTCAGACATCTGTTGGGCCTACGCTATGCTCTTGACGACTCCTCTTGTCGTCACCGTCGGTCTCTCACTGACCATCCCGCTCTCCCTTGTGGGCCAGATCTTCCTCCAAGGCATAACGTCGAGCGCGCTGTATTGGGTCGGCGCTGCGATCGTGTTCCTGTCGTTCTTGGTCGTGAACCATGAAAGTAAGGAGAAAAATTCCGAGGAAGCGTCAACTGCAGACTATGACGCCATTCCCGGAGAAGAGACAGGGAGGTGATGTATCTGATCACAGGGCAACTAATTAGATGAAAGTTAGTCCAGAATAACGGATATATATACACACAAATTGCCACTTCGTTAAACAAAAATATCCTCTGTTTTCGTTATACTAGAAAAGAACATAAGATTATATTGGGCCCGATCAGTTCACAGATAAGAGAAAATAATAATGGGCACAAATTATCCAACCCGCCACTGGAAACTATAACATTGCGGCTTGATACCTTCCACCATTGATTATGCGGATTCTTTGGTATCCAAAATATTAACACTAATATAGGGGATTAAATAAACATCGGCAAACCCAACATTATCAGCATTATTTCAGAGTCAGGGGTTTCAGACTGGTCACAAGGGAAAAGAAAGAAGAAAGGAGATCTATATCATCAGCGAAGTCGGGTATGTATGTCGTAAAAAGATCACAATGAGAAAACGAGCTTGCAGGAAATGAAGGTATACAAGGTGCCCAGTATTTCGACAATGAAGAAAATTTGTTAGCGAGAGACGCAGTGAAGGGAGTGGGAAAAGAGAGTGACAATCTGACTGTTACTAGACCCGTCAGATCAGTATCGTATAGTTGTTCAGGCTGCTGCTGCTGCCGCCGCCGCTCCCGGCGCAGTCTCCGATTCAAGTTTCTTGCGAGCGACTAGAACGCTCTTCAGGGACCCTAACCACTTTGCTAGGGATTCTTCATTGTCTGTGCATAGACGATATGATTTTTCCTCTGCGATGACTTGGAGACAGTAGAGTTTTGAACGAGATATTGGGTCAATCTCTGCGGCATCGAATACCTGGTCCATGGGAAGGATCTTGACTGCGGAATATTCCTGTGGAAGATAGCCAGTCAGTTTTCTGCTAGCACGCCCAATACGAAAGAAAAGAACTTGAAATATAGCAGAAACCGAGTGGATCAAATATCCATACCTGTTCATCCTTATAGAAGCCAAGGCTCTTTGGACGCAAGACAACCCATAGTCGTTTCCATTGGCGGACTCCTCCCTTGATGCGAAGGCATTGGAGATAGCCATTACAGATAACCCTCTCCGGGTCACGCCGAGCACCTGATTCTTGAGTCCGATCCGTATCGCGCGCAGATGCGGGCTGTGCACTCGTTGGAGTAGATGCAGATAACTGAGGAATTGTTGAAGTTCTTGAAACGGGGCGAACACTAGAGTTGCTCGCTGGTCCATCGGACCATTCTGAGTAGGATGTAATGTCATGTCCTGAGAAATTTTGGTGGGCAGTGAGACGTCCTCCCGGGGAGCTTGCCCGTCCGAATTCAGGCGAGCTGGCCCTTCCCATATGCTCAATATCCGAGAAATCAGTGGTATCATCGAACCGCTGTTTGCTAGACGCTGTATTGTTTCCTTTCATGGAAAGTGCCAGAAACGCCTCCTCTTCCTCGTCCATGCGAGTTTCGGCACGAATACGCTCGATCCAATCCTGCGCATCTTTCTCCGACAGAGCCTGGAAGCGATAGTTCTTAGAAGGGGAAAATATGCCAAAAACGTGCTGGCGATTTGACCGAGGAGATTTAACGGGAGCGACCGCGGTTACTTCTGATAGAGTAATGGATAGCCGCAACCTTGTTGCTTCCTCATCTTTGTAGACTGATAACAGATTCGGGCGGAGAACGAGATAGGCTTGTTTCCAGGAGGCCCTGAATGCCTAATCAACCAGAGTCAGCGATAAGCTGCAAGATGGGTGGGGAACAAGGCTGACATGTTTATGTTTGACCCGACGATGCACCTTCCCAGTTTTCAAGACGCGATCGAATTCGAAGCTTCCGTTTTCATTAACCGGTGAGAATGTGTCTAAGTTGACATGTCCATTGCGATGGACGGTTGGAGACCGGAGTAGAGTAGATGGCTTAACGGTGCCATCAGGAAAATGAATCGCTGGGGCTTTGACATGCCCCTCCGAGGTCGACGGGCACGAGCTTGTCAACGGCTGGTGCATCATATCGAAGAAGTTGGTTATTGGTCGTGGAATGTAGAAATCAAGCACAAGCTCGGAATCTAGTACAGCTCAGGTTGTTCGCTGCAGATATAGTAACGTTAATGAACTTGTAGTTACAGCGAGCATATATTGACACATCTGGATAAACAGCTAGTAGGTAGAGAGAGAGTAAGCCTCCGTATATAACAAATGGGAGCCTACTACACAGGCAAGGTGCAGGCAGGAAGTATAGTAAGAGAAGAGGGCGGGTAGCAAATCATAATGATCTTACAGTATAAGTCAAGGGGTCAACAGGACATGGTGGAGAGGCTGTGTCAAGAGCAGAGACGAACGGAGAGAAGACTTGGAACTAAATGCGGCAGGAGAAAAGAAAAAGAGACGGAGAGCGTATGGATAGATGAAGACATAGAATTTCCCCGACCGAAAGTGCTTCAGCAAGCGCCCGTTACTCGAGCATGCGCGCGCCGCAGTTGAGACGATTGGAGACTTGGACTGTTTCTTTTAGTTGTCGCACAGGGGCGCATGGACGTTTCAAAGGTCATGGAGGAGTTAATCTTAGCAAAGTAAGGGCGGTGGATGATTGTCGCAGGTGCTGTTTCATCCGTCAATCAATTTGTATTCTTTTTTTTTTTTTTGGCTGGTCATTTATCAGCGGTCATTTCCCTCCCCCACGTGATGGAATCCCTTTTCTGGACAGAACTACACAGAGTATAAGAGAAAGATATTCCGGTTTATTGAACCATATCTCAATACCCTTGTTGGGAGGAAATCATCCTCTTTTTTCATTTTCATTTTTTTTTTTCATGCCACCACTACAACAAGTATAGTTAACTAACCGGTCCACAGTACTTAGTTCAAGTCCAGTCCACTCGCTTGTTAACTCACAGAACTACTATCACCAAGCTAAGCAATAGTCTAACGTTGAACCAACGGACTAGACTTTCGGTGGATTGATTCTCCTTTTACCCCTTTCTCTAGTGCGAGAGACCGAGAGCCGGACGATAGTTGCCGATTTGCCGGCACGAGGGTTTGGTCTGCCTTGGATCCATGGATGAAATACTCCGTAAATAGTTACTCAATATTTATTGGTCATCGACCTTGAGGAGCCATCGTCGGTTGCTTGGATACGAACTTCCCCTTTTTGCCCTCTTTTCACGAAAGAGTGACCCAATTTAAAGAGATCATTATCGAGTCGAAATGCCCTGAACAGGGTAGGACTGATGACCATGCAGCCTAGGTGAACCGTCGACATACTTGATCAATCTACCTCGTACAATGTAACATCATTTTTAACTGACGGACAATATGACCGTTCAATCCAAGGGCAACCATAGAGCTGCTGCGGACTCATGCTGGGGGACCATTACCATGGTAGAATACTGAAAACAACATATCCTTTGTCCGCATAGGCTGACAGGAGCAGAGAAACGATAACTACCTCTTGTGCATCAAACCAGCCTAGGAACTGAACCCTCGGGCTCCTCTGTGGAATGTCGGTGTTCCAATGCTAGGTTTTTGTTGTACTGGCGAAGAACCGATGAAGGAAAAAGTGAAATATGTTCTTAGTACTATGACAATGGGACTGACTCTGGAAGCGCCTGGTCACGCATCTAGCATATTGGATATATAGATCGATGAAAGCAGAGTCGTAATGTATAGCGCTATCTACGTACTAGGTAACATATTACCTGCATAGCTGGCATGGAGCAATCAAATATGTTATATACTCACAGAGGAGACCTTGACGGGTTGAGTACAGAGTACAGAGTACACACAGCAAGAAAGCCCTAGAATATTAGCAAACGTACCGGGCCGACACGACTTCCTAATTTGAGATCGAATTTCCGAAGGGCCAAGAGCGGTAAGCTCCAAGCCCTCTGTAATATGTATGCATGTTTCGTGTACCTACAGGTAGTACTAACTAGTAGTAGGGTAATACGGGATTTCTTGGTAGCTGTGTACATACACGAGACATACATACATAAGGATCGATGCACCTGGACCGACACATCAAGCAGAGCTCCATCGACCCAATCACGACCAAGGTGAAGTGGATTCTGCACGATGGCTATCGTAATACGGCTGCTAGTTGATGTACTGCAAGGATGAGATGATCAATGACATGTGAGTCTAGAAGCGGCAGTCTATGAGAAGTCATATAGATCGTGCCATATCGGTGGAAGAATTATCAACTTAGCTGTACTGCCCTGCTGCACATCGGTTATCCAACGGGCTTAAAAGGCCACATTGTCAGATCCCTTTTAGCGCCAAGGCGGTCACGTGGAGACCGGTGGAGCTTCAGGGTTCTGGATGCATAAATTACCGGTCCACGGTACAATGGTATGGCAATTACCTCTTTCCAACGCCTTACGCTCGGCCATGTGTACAGCATCAATACATACTATCTTGCCGAGTCCTATGGGTCAACCGACAGTTCAAATGGGGTTGATGGGCGTCAGACAGATTGATTTTAGGTCAATACATATCCCACAATCATTTGTTTTAAGGTCTGTTATGTTGTATGCCAGCCTGTTCAGTTCATTGTCTAGCTACTAAAGCTATCTTCTACCTGAGGCTACTGCTATCGAACATATACCCCCTCTGCAACATCTATAGCTATGGAGGCTGGCATGAACTGGAGTAACCTTCGGTGACCGACAGCGTGGACAGCCATGGTCATGTCGAATCGAAGGATAGGCAGATGATGGAAAGAACATTCTATGTGATTGCTCTTGGTGTTCACTCAGTTGTGTGTATGCAGGGTAGGTTTGTGTTTATCCCTTGGTGGTATCTTAATGTTTTTGTAATCAATCCCATGCTTTGGGGATGTTTACAATACTCCGTCAACTTGTAATAATAACAAGGCTTCGTATACCCTGGAGTACTTACTCCAATCTTATTATCCCCCTAGTGCAGATGGGGCGCTTAATAGGTAATCGTAACTTGGGACTAACTAACTATTTAGTAGTGTCGGATAGTGGCAACAACAAAGCCAAGGCCATAGGAAGTTTAAAGAGAAAATTTTCCAGTGGTGCCCTTATACCTCTTGGAATGATGGTACATACCGAGCAACTAGTTATCGTGCAACAGCATAAGTAAATACTGGCTGATCCAGTGAAGACGTACGTGTCCTGCAGGCCAGTTAAGCTTCGGGTGCTGCCATACATGTGCGTACTGAAAGCCACTATGAGAGGATCCCTGACCGTGTTTGATCAATAAGGGACAGAAAAACTGGGATAGTACCTAGTAGACTCAAGCGCCATCTTTCTTAGTTATTCGTTGTGCTGGTAATTTTAGTAATCAATTTGATGGGCGAACTGCGCCTAAGCAATAATTTACCACCAACGATTTGCTTGGTGCTCTCCGGACTCCGGAGGGGTCCATACCGTGTACGGTATTCAGACCCGTACTAGAATCGTATGAAAGAGCTGCGACCTTCCAATCTAGAGGGTAAGTTACCGTCCGTGACCATGGCCGCTTGCGCCTCCTTGGCCTTGGCGAAACTTCCACCCATCCCCATCCCCAAAATAATCTTTCATTTCATCGATTGCCTCCCGCAGTCTCCGACTTCCCACCCGAGTTCCTCTTCCAACCCAACGCGATTGATGAGCTCGTCGACTTGCTCCGTGTTCCCGGCCTCATTGCTAAGGACACCAGTCCCCTGCGTTGCTGTCAACGTTTCCCCTCGCCATCTCTATCTGGCAGACAACTGAAAGGGGAAAAGTTGGAAAGGAGGCATTTCCTCCGGCCGCTCGTTTTTTATTGTTCCTTTTTTTCTTTTCGCCGGCCAACATTTCTACCTCTTCCTGTTTAATAAACCTATTAATCGCATAAGATATCATATACTTGGAGCGTATCTTGTTAGCATTAGAAGTGTGGTTCGACCTCACTGTTGCTTGCATGCGAACCGTTCCCCTTTCAGCAGCCCTGATTTTCGCTCAGATACGGCAGTCATCGACTCAGTCTTCCCCGGATCTCCGCAAAATCTCTTCCATGTTCAGTGGATTCTGTTAACATTACTTGGCTTGATCTTTTTTTTTTTTTTTTCTTTTCTTGAATCGACGCTGTGTGAGCACCCTTGCGCTCATGGGGCTGACGCAGCGAATCTCAAAATGGCTGCCCTCTTCGCCGAGTCTCCCTGTGGATGACGTTTCGCGCGAAAAGGGCCGCAACATCTCCAGGTTCGCGTTCTTCAAGAGAAGAATACGCTTGAAGGGAAATTCATCGATTTCTATACCCTTGGGATTTGTTCTACTCTTTCCATGTCTTGTAATAGTCCTAGTTTTGCTTCTTTTTGTCCGACACCCTGCTTCGCCCGGGGGCATCTTAATTCCAGCTGGGACACCCCCATCTATAAGGTTAGTATAATCCTCAAAGATACGCGCAGACCCCTCGATATTCCTGATCGCTGACAACTCTGTTACACTTTTCAGAAAAATAAGCGAAAAGCATGACAAGGTCTTCGCCAATGGATGCCTGCAGGTTGAGAAGGAGGTTGAGGGCAAACGTGCAAATGCCGCGTTTGTCGTTCTCGCTAGGAACAAGGAATTGGACGGCGTCATCCAGTCGCTTAAGTCGATTGAGAGACATTTCAACCGATGGTTCCACTATCCTTACGTGTTCCTGAACGACGGCGATTTCGACGACACTTTCAAGGATACCGTGAAGAATTATACAAGCGCCCCTGTGGAATTCGGCAAAATTGATGACACCATGTGGGGTTATCCTAAGTGGGTTGACGATGAAGTGGCAAAGGAGGGCATCAGAAAGCAGGGTGATGCCGCTATTATGTATGGTGGGATGGAGAGTTACCACCATATGTGCAGATTCTATTCTGGGTCAGTATACTTGGTTCAATGTCACTTCTCTGGGGTACTAATGCTGTATTCAGATTCTTCTACAAGCATCCCCTCCTCATGAAGTACGAATGGTACTGGCGTCTGGAGCCAGAGATCAGCTACTTCTGTGACATCACTTAGTAAGACTAACCCTTGTCACCGTTAGTACTGATATTGAGCATCCATCACTTACACCTATATAGCGACCCTTTCGTCAAGATGGCTGAAGCAAATAAAACCTATGGATTTACGATTGCTGTCAAAGAACTGCGTGAGACTGTCCCCAACATATTCCGCTATGCCTCGGCCTATAAGCGGAAGCACAATCTAGAGTCAAAAGGACTCTGGGAGATGTTCCTCGAAAGGCCATCTGAGGAGGAGCCCAAGCCGGAGGAAGGGAAGCAGGATAAGCTTCCCGAGGAAATTCTGCAGAATGAGCCTGGAGAGAATACTGTTCCCGATGTCGATCCTGAGGCCATGGAAGGCGAGAAGTATAACATGTGCCATTTCTGGAGTAACTTTGAAATCGCACGCCTGGACTGGTTCCGCAGTAAGGAATACGAAGAGTTCTTTGAAATGATGGATAGGAGCGGTGGTTTTTGGATGGAAAGAGTAAGTATTTGAGACATCTCCAGAACCCTTGATGCCCTCAAGGCTAACAACGCAATCTCAGTGGGGTGATGCGCCTATCCACTCGCTAGCCGCAGGTGTTCTTCTGTCGCCCAGTGATATACACTATTTCCGTGATTTTGGCTACCGTCATACGACCATCCAGCATTGCCCCGCTAACGCTCCCGCCCGACAGCTCCCACGGATTCCGTGGCTTGAAATGACCACGGAAGACGAGAAAGCGCGGTTCGAAGAGGATGAGTACTGGGCAAATTCCGACCCCGTCAAAGAGAACGGTGTCGGGTGCAGGTGCAGGTGTGATACAGATATCGTGGATGTTGAGGGTAAACAAGGCAGCTGTCTTGCCGAGTGGGTAGAAGTTGCGGGAGGTTGGGCTTCTCCCTAGATTCGGGCAACTTCTTGCTTTGTCCGCTGTATAATCTTCGCCTCCTCGTTTCCATACCTTTTTGTTCAATCATGAGCATTACTCGGGTTGCCGTTGGAGTTATTGTTGCTTGAGCCTTCATATTATGTTGGCTGTGGGGTTCTGGACGGCGTTCAACGGATCTGACAGCTTCTTTTATGGAAAATGGTGTGATCATTCTCATCAATATTCACAAATTCATCTAGCGTGCTTTGTATGTTTTCATTTGGATTGCTACGTTCTTGTTAAATCACAAGGACTTTCTTCTGGAAAGAGACGGTTGCTGTGCCGGCGTCAGCTTCAAGATAGTCCCAACCTCTACCGGAATCTACATCCGATCTCTCAACAAGCAAGACTATCCTCTCTACATAGCTCTTGGCTACGTTGAGTATTCCACGCCTCTGTTCCTCACGGTCTCTGACCAAAGCTCGATGTGCGCTAGCCTGATTTCAATCATGCCTGCTGCTACGCAATTCTCCTCGGCATCCTACCATACTTCCGGCCATCTCAGGAGACAGGCCGGCATTGGGTACGACACTAAGTTCCAGCGGACAGATGAAGATGGAACTATTTGCGGCGGTTAAACATTCTTGGCCCGCTTATCTTTGCAGAGACCGCTAATTTATGTTCGATGTTCTAATGCACTGCCTTACCCTGTTTTACTTACTCACCTTTATTTCCTACCCTTCCTCGCCGTTATGTCATGAATTGTACATATCTTCTTTTTTTTTTTTCTTTTCGTATTTCTTTCTTGTTGTTCTGAGATCCTGGTGAAACTGGGTCATTTCAGATGCATAGCCCCAAGAACGCAAATAAACGACTTGCAGCATGGCTTATGTATAGAGTGTGAGACTTCTCCTCGTATGTAAAGGGGGTTTTCATTAGTAGTAGTAGTTTGGCCATAACCCAGCAATACCTACCTAGGTAAGTACTAAGTACTTCCAAGTTAGGTGGCTGCATCAACTAGGCTCCTTCAGGTTAGTGGGTGCCTGATAGGAGATAAAAGAGATGCCTTATCAGTTCGATTTCAAAAGAAGTGCACATGATAAAGTATTTCGAGAGATCCAGGCAACAAAGTAAACAAGCAGGCTACCTAAATAATATACTAAGATTCACAGCTTTTCCATTTCCTTCCCGCTCAGCCAATCTTGGGTTGGACCGTGACGGTGTGAATTCCGTGCCTTGTCATAGTCAGCACACCACAGATGTCCCTGTCATGTGCCCCGCGCATGGCAGTCACTATCTCCAACTCTATCCTCTTGACATCTTCTCCCTCGGTCATCTTCAGTTTTCGACAACACTACTAGCTATAATCTGAGTCTTAACCATGCTAAGGTCTTTATAAGATTCGATATCGAACAGGTTCTCTTCATAATCCGTTTGGTCACGAGTCTAGAAGCGTCTAATATACTACTCCGCTCGGACCCGGGACCCTCCCTCACCCCACAGCGTCCGCCTTGTCATCGGGCATCCGCTTTTTTAGGCTGAGCTTATCGAGGGATATCCACAAGAAAACAGCCCTCTGTCGCTAAAAGGACAGAGCAAAAGCTTCCCTCTCGACAGATAACGTATCCTCCCGCTGACTTTCGTTTTACTTGCTCTTTGGCTTAGCTACGTCTATTGTATTCGACCGAAACGCCGCATCTTTGGACCTGGCTTGCTCTGACTTTTGCCCCATGCTGCTTCCACACTGACGACATGGCTGACTCTCCAAGGCCTCACTCCAGACGTCCATCCCTCGCCTCATCCTCCTCACATCTACGGTACCCAACCTTTCCTCCTCTAAGTGGCTCAGTTGAAGAGTGGTTGTCTCGCTCGAGGCCTATCAGTATGACGTCAAGTCATCTGGCGGACAACACGCCCAGGTCACTGAGCGAAAGCTGGGCAACACTGAGCGCTTCTGACGTTCATTCTGAGGATGGCAGCCGCTCTGACCAAACCGACGTTGGGTCTCTAATCGATCAAGCCGGGCCGGATGATGTTGCGAGTCTCGATGAGCAGTATAGCAGCAGCGAGGTTGATGGGAACGAAGACGACGACTATGACTCGAAAAGTAACGTTTTTGGATCTCAGGCACTACCCGCGCTTTTCCCTCAGGTCAGAGGCTCTATTGATGATAGTAACATAACCACGAAGGCTGCTTTTCGTCAACCAACCGAGTCGATAGAGTTTACCGAGCCTGAAAAATGGCCCGAAGTCGAACAGGTGGAACTGAAACACACCATACGTATGTTTGAAGGAATCGAGGCCGATGAGATTAAGAGTCAGTTCGCTATAAACCTGCAGGACTCTATTCTTACAGCCACCGTTCAACAAACTATGACGAAGAAGAGTCTTGACACCGATAAGCCGTTCCGTGTGCTCTATATCGGTGATCCTGAGTTTCGAAACATCATCCTCGATAAAATCGGGGATGTCCTTGTATCAAGCACCTGTAGGGACTTTGAAAGCAGCTCCACAGAATCCTCTAGATATCATGTTGTACCGACATCGTTCGGGACCGGCGCAGTCCTAATTTCGCTGAGCTCCTTCCAATCCATGTCCAACTTATTGTTGACGAGTGCCCTGGAGCTTCTATTGGCTTTCGGAACGATAACCCCGACACTATTAGGTTGGATTTCAAAAACCGGCCTTCATGCACGTCTTTCTGGACCGGGGGCGAGTATTGCGTCTCATCCTCAACTGAATGGACGCTTCCTGATGTAGCAATTCTTTTCTTATCCAGCAGAGATTCTGCGACTATGATGGAGACCCAAAAGCTGGCCCGCATGTTCATGGAAAGGCATGGCATTCCGACTATGATTATATCCGAGACACCGCTCTGGGATCTGGCCAAATCAATTCCTCTGAACCATCATAGCCTCCACATGTGTCTGGAGTCTCGTCATTCGCTGACTGGGAAAGTCACAGTCCTACGAAGGTATCCTATTGATCTAGCGACTTTTGAGAGTATCACGCCCGGGCAACTCAATAGGAATCTTGCCTCCTTGGTGAGCATCTATGCTAAGAATTCTAACAACGTCACCCTGGAAAATACAGGCAACTTTCAAAGGAAGTCACTCTTCGCTGTGGAGAAGTGGACCACGAGAATGCCCTTCATCCCTTACCTGAATGACGACCGGGAGTTGACACCTGTGCTGCGTTTAATCGCCCTCACCGTTCTCTTAAGCGTAGCTACCATTTTAGCGCACTCAGCTTTGCGTGCTACTTCAATTCTATTCTCTCAAAAATTTCCTCAATCGGTTATTTCCAATATTGTATCCAATGCCCCGAGCAGTACTTCTACCAGTATCATCACAGAAAATGATTTAAAACAAACTTCACTTTCTACACTGTCTTCATCGGCGACCGATGTCCAAGTTTTGGGGAACCAGCCCCAGGGTTATTCTCAGTTGGACAACCTGATGAGCGGACTGCTGTCCCCTCCTAAGAAGCAGGAGTCCGGTGGCTTTGAGATTCAGGTTGTTGGCGATTGCCACCTTGTGATAAAGCCACCCAATATCACGTTGACTGGGAAAAAAAGGCCAAAATTCGATGTTCAAGTGAGTCGAGGAGCCAAAGCGCTCGAATATGAACTCTCTCGATTATTTGATGGGGTATACACACTCAAGCTTGATCGAGGGGATGCGTACGGGATAGTAAACGTCACAGTCACTATGGCTTCGAGGCCTCCTCTCCACCAAACCACATCGGTAGACTTTGGAACCCCGTGGCTGAAGATCACAAATTGGAGGCGGGCAGCGCAGGTAATCTCATCCCAGTTTATGGGAGATTTCAACACTGCGCAAGTTGGATTATCAGAAGTATACAGTCGTCTTTGCACTGATTTGCAAGTCCTTATGGGGGATGTTGTAAAAAAAACCCATCTTTTACGCCGAGAAGCAAACGTTCTCCGCCATGGCACTGGACAACTTTCTGAGAAAAAAGACGTGGTTATCGCAAGGTCCAAGCAGCTTTCTGAAGTCGTCAGACGTACTGCTGTCCATCCATTCCTCGCTGTCTCATCAGTCCTGCAGGAAAAGACCATCAAAGTAAACCAGGAGACCCGGGAGATTATCAGTGATACATGGCATCGATTTAGCAACCAAGCGCAAGGATTTGAACTCAAATCTGTGAAGAACCATATTCGAAATGCGAGGAAGAGCCATGCGTTAGACAAGGCCCAGCGGAGAGCTAAGCGCTTGATGAGGCGAAAGTGCCAACACTCTGAATGTTTGTGAGAAAAGCTATGGACTTGTACCCTAGCTAGTTCGTCTATGTTTAAGACTCAGGGCTTTATATTTGCTTTTCCGTGCGTGCCTGCGATGCCTATTCTACTTCAATACTTTTCTCTTCCCTCGTACATCTTCTTCTTATTCTACTTCTTCTTTTCCTCACTTTGCTTTTGGGAGAGGGATGGCTTGTCTTGTTCCTAGGCGAAAAAGGGTCGCGATATTTTTGCTTCCATTTATATTTTTAAAAGGCCCGGAACCACATGAGGGTTTCGGGACAGATGCTATGTAGTAATGAATCCCATGTGAAATGTCAACTCCCTCTTTTGATCTTACCACTCTTTCCTCGCCTGGGAGTCATTTAATGACAGTATATTCGTTTCACGGTATTCTATTATGTTTTAGCAGTGTTTCCCCAAGGTTGGCCCGCATAATATAAGAAAAGGCTCTCAAGGCGGTGGCACTAGCGGCCTTAGGCCGTGGGCAATGAACTACCCCCCACCTTTACAACAAAAACAGCCGACCATATTTTCTTCCCCTCTCTGTAACCATCTCCTTAAACCTTCTTCCATTTTAAAACATTAGGTATGTACTTGTGCTCCCACTAAAACCCGAAATCACTGGAACTCACAAACTTAGCAGAATTTCACCACTTCGTCATCATGTCCGACGTCCCTGAGACCAAGCCTGACCCCACCACCAGCGCTCCTGAGGCGGCTGAGAAGCCCGAGGAGACCACCACCACCACCGAAGCTCCCAAGACCGAAGAGGACAAGTCTGCGACTGAGGCTGTAGTTGACTCAGCTAAGGAGGCGGCCACCAAGACAACCGACAGCGTTTTCTCTATGTTTGGCGGTGGTCCCAAGAAGGAAAAGAAGGAAGAGCCTGAGGATAACAAGGATGAGCCATCTGGCTCTTCCAAGGCTCAGAAAACAGAAGAAGACGTGAGTCTCTGCCTTCTTTGGCTCGATAAACTGCTACTTTGCTTTATATGCCTTTCGTTCTATATCATCGTGGCTTCCCTGCACCAAGTTTTTTGGGTTTCATGAGTCAATCGTGCTACGAGTTCGATTTACCCCAGTACAAGTGGCTAACAATCCATTAACCAATAGGACGAGGCACCTGAGTCCCCCGACGTTCACTTCGAGCCTGTTATCCGCCTGACCGAGAAGGTGGAAACCAAGACCAACGAAGAACTTGAGGAGCAGACCTTCAAGATGCGTGCTAAGCTGTTCCGATTCGACGCCGAGAGCAAGGAATGGAAGGAGCGTGGTACTGGTGATGTTAGACTGCTGAAGCACAAGGAGAACCAGAAGACTCGCCTGGTAATGCGCAGAGACAAGACCCTGAAGGTCTGCGCCAACCACTACAGTAAGTTTAGCGCATATAAAACATATTCTTTTCCTCACCTAGATTACTGATGGAATATCTAGTTGTCCCTGCAATGAAGTTGAGCCCCAACGTTGGCAGTGATCGCAGCTGGGTTTGGAACGCTACTGCCGATGTCAGTGAGGGTGAGCCCGAGGCGCAGACCCTGGCTATCCGTTTCGCCAACAGTGAGAGTAAGTTGATTTCCTTGTCAAGGTGTGTTTTAGGTTACGGCTTTGCTAACACAGCTTTAGATGCCAACCTGTTCAAGGAGGCTTTCGAGAAGGCTCAGCAGGAGAACGAGAAGCTCCTTGCCGACCAGTAAAACATGTGCCCCCGAGTGGACTGAAATGAGTTTTACTTGATGAACTATCATTAATCACCCTTTTGATTGTTTCAAAACACTACGAGTGAATATAAGACTCGCCGGTGGACAACACAGCGTTTACCCATCTAAATCCCGTTCCCCATCACGCCCTTTCCGATATTATCATTTCCTCCAGCCCCATCCCCCGACAACTACGCGATGAGAACGGTTTACTGATACCGGTCGCGACAAGATCACGAGCCAGCTTCCGGCACCCGTTCAATCTCACCCGATGATATTGAATATATGTTGACCTGGCAGTAAATTAGTAGACCCAAGACCCCTGCAAATATATGTTTGAAATGCACGATGAACCCGTTATGTATTGAATTTCATAAAATCAAATATAGATCTCCTGTGTCACGCGTAAAGCTCTCGTTTGCTGTTGTAAAATTTCACCGATGGTATATATGTAGGTATGGTTCATCTATGCGGTGACGATAGGTCTGGAAAAGTGAAGAGTAGGGTAGAATCATCAGTCACGCCCATCGTTATTTTTTTTAAAAAAAAAAATTTCTTCGAAAGAATGGTTTATCGAGCTCTGGTATTTCATGATGTTGGATGGGTTAAAGTCCCTAGCGGCAAAGTCGACCACCAGTTAACGTCCAAGTCATGAATGCCTGAAAGTCAAGTCAGTCGGATCGCTTCATCCGCCCCCCTCTTCCTCGCCGACCTTCTTCACTCTCCCTCCGAAGTCTTCCCTCCCCAATACCTTTCATCCCACAACTCTCTCTTCAGGTACACCCTTACGCGGTCATCGCGCGATCTCTGAGGGTTCCGCCCAATCGGAGTCCTAGTATAATCTCACCGACAAGCGTCCTATTCAACCTCGCCTCACCTTTCATTCGCGCAATCCCCGAGCTCGATAGCTCGAATCCGTCATTCACCAAGTACCTTCCACTTAATTCTATTCCCCCTCCAGTGAGCTTAGCGAAAGGCCGCTGGCAAAATGCCCGACGTGAGTTCATGATTGTTTCGATTCATCGCACCGCCATCCTCCCCAATTGGCAAATGTATTTCTCAACTTGCTGTCGCATTCAACTAATGCTATCTTCCTCCCCATTCAGGTCAAGAGGAATGTCCGGCTGGTCACAGAACAGCATGTTGTGTATGTTGAATCCTGCACACCGATTTCCTTCCCAATAGAATAGAATCATTCCATGCTCGCCCGCCCACTCTACGCGCCCATCGCTGCCACACGTTCCTAAACGTTCTGGTTATCTACCTTGACTTTTGTTGTCGCGATTGCAAAGCAACCAAGGCGCGGTGACTTTCCTTTTCCGCACGTCACTGTGATCAGGAGCTACGGCGACGACAACTGGGCTTTTCTTTAGCTGTTATTTTTGCTGACTGGTCGCGTCTCCGCTTCGACAGAAACAAAGATTCGGGTGTTGAAGGGTTCCCCCTCCGCGCGTGGTCGATCGAGATTTACCTTGTCAATGACCACGGAGAGCAAGTGCCGGCCAACGTTTTCGACAAGGTGACGTATACACTTCATCCTAGTTTCGGGGATCGGGCAATTCAAAGTACGTTATTTTCTATCATCTTTACGACACTTGGTGTACATACCCTCTTTACAAATCGAGCCGCACGCCCCGGGCTTGAAACTCTCTGGGATGGCGTTGTTGCCGGAAACCATCGGGAACGTCAAGGAATTATCACTAACGCGCAAAAATGACAACAGCCTTCAAGAATCCCCCATTCAGGATTTCAGAAGAAGCTGGGGTGAATTCGACATGCAGATCACCCTTCACGCCGACAAGGATCACTACGTGACACACGACCTCAACTTTGCACAGACACGCTACGAGTCCAAGCACGTCATCGTAAGTGTCTCCGTTCTCTTCGTCCCTGCCCATTCTTCCTCAAAACAGACCACTCATACGTACTTTCAGACATTCAAAAACCCCAAGCCTGCCTTATTGGCAGCCCTTCGTGAATCAGGTCCCGTCCCCGGAGACGAGAATGGAGTGAAATCTAAGCGTTCCGCAGCCAGCGAAGAAGGATCAAAGAAGAAGAAGCGAACAGAGAAGAGCGTAAGGCCCCCACTACCTTCATCCACAGCAAAAGCCAGGAACACTACTTAAACAGGAAATTGTTTTTCCAGGTGGATATGGACAAGTTAGCCGACGGCCTCCAACGACTCGGAGAAGATGATCTTCTCCAAGTGGTGCAGATGGTACACGATAACAAAGCCCCAGACTCGTACACCAAAAACGACGTCGAACGTAAGTTCCCCACGTGTACCACGTTACACATTCCAAAAAAACAAAAGCGGAAGAATCAAAGGGACTAACTAAAAGATTCCTGTAGAGGGAGAATTTCATGTCGATCTTTATACCTTACCAGACACGTTGATCAAGATGCTGTGGGATTTCACGCAAGAGAAGGGCGCTCTGTGAATCGGTTTGGGGGAGCATTTTCCTTCTCCATCTGCCTCAACCTGTTTGCATCACTGTCGCTTTTTCTTTTCCTTTTTATCCTGGTCTGCTTCCTTTATTTTCCTACCCCAACTTCTTTTTGTATTTCTGACCAATGGACCGTACGATGAAATGGGAAAAGGCAAAGGCCCTGACACATCGAACATACTGAAAAAAAAGAAAAAGAAAAAGAAAAAGAAAAAGACAAAGGAAGAAGAAGGATCGGAAGGTTACCGCAGTTATGCGGAGGATGGATGAAACGAATATACCTACGCGAGCCAAGACACTACCCAACAGGAGGATGCACCTTGATGCTGGATTCCTTGAAGACAGAGATCGGAAAGCTTGCTAACGAAAGTCCGCGGCTAATGAAATACGGAGACATACGCCAATATTTGAAATCAACTTGGTCTTAATACAAGAAATTGGAACAATCATAGTGAGATTTTATGCCAAGGAGCCCCACAAAGGCAATATAGACATATCGGAACGGAACCAATGTTGGATATCTTCAAGCTCAATCACTCCACACGTAAACCCAAATGGCTGGACAACGAGATAAAACCAGAAAAAAAAGTATGAGATCCACAATGCGTCGCCAACCGGAACACCTTGTATATGCATTCAGCTGAAAAAGTCAAGCAAAGTAATGGCACCGCCTGCCTGCAATAAAAAAAGATTTCTAACGCTCGACAATGATGCTAAGATTGGAGGAAGTCATAGCGCCCGGCGCACTTCGACCCGTAGTTTTCACATAAGAATCCAGTATGAATGCGTGGATATTTACAGCACTCGGTATCTGGGACGGTCAGCATATCTGAAACATCAAGTGTGTCATTCCCAGTAAAACATACAGTTTGAGTAAATCTTCCAAAGTCTGGGAGGTACAGTCGCGGCCTTTAGGGATTTGTCGGACGATCTCGACGATAGTCTCGAAGACATCACCACCTCTGTAGGCCAACAATGCCGGAGCCTTGATATGATCCATCTCGGCAATTTCATGGTGGAGCTTAACGAAGCGGACGGTTGGGTTTCTGTGCGCAACGCCTTCCAGGCAGTCTTCTACTAGAGCGCTAGTCTTTGACTGTGGTAGAGGTTAGTGACATCTCAGCCTATGGTGTAGTAATTTCAAGTGTCACACGTACCTCGGGATTATAGATACAGACGACCACTACCGTATCGGATGTGACTTTCTCAACGGCATCAAGGTACCCCACTGCGTCGACTGTATCGACCGATCCATACATTCTTCGCCGGGGACTCGGCCGCCGGAAGCCGCGGTTCCTCAGTTCTTGTATGCGCTCCTCGCGCCATTGGCGGAGGAAGTGTTCCTCATCATCATCACTGAGCGAGCCATCCGGAGGTGCAGTATTGTGCAGAAGGTGAGAGTCGTCGGCAATGTATTTAGCATGGTCATTATGATGCAGTGTTTTGCGGAAGGAGCTTGCACGCGCGCGCTCGAAGGCCTGAGCATCGGCTATAACACCCTTGGGACCGGTGTTGGCATCAAAGACAATGTTTGGGACATGGTAGGTGGACGGGCCGGTTCTCATGGTGGGATCGTGGTCCTCGGAGTCCGAGAACTGCGGGTGGTCTTGTTCGTCGTCTGAAGGATTGGAGTCGCGATCTGAGTCGTTGTCACGATCCTCAGGATGTGTAGAGTACTTCTCCTGATTGGACTGCACCAGGCGGTTGAATTCGTCTTGGGCAGAAGACATGGTGAAAGGAAGGGCACACGAGGGGGGTATATAGGCTTTTAAGGATGAACAATGATAGTGTGGGATATTATTAGAGTCGGGCTGCGCCTTGATCTGCGACCACCGGCAGGGAAGTCTTCCTTCGTTTCTCTTTGCTTTTTTGACTTTTTTTCTCGTCGTGAGGATTACCCTTTTTTTTCCCTT